CAGGCTCCTTTCTTCTGCTTCAGAATCTCCACGACTATGGTGCTCTTTGCACCTACTCCTAGGTTGAGGGACTGATTACCTCATCTTCTGTACATAGTTCTACTGTCTTCAAGTTATGTCCTAGAATTTGTATTGATAAAGCCACTGGATGGCGAAACGTCTACAAAAAAGATACCCAAATGTTGCACATGTGCCCTTAATCTCATCTTGTCGGTATTATATACCATTCGTAAAACAACTTGTCAGACACTGCAACATCATGGAATCTTAATTCTGAGGACATGTACATAACCTTCACGGCTACGACAACTACTACTACAACTAACCCACTCTTGGGGGGGACCTACTTCCCACTGGGAACCCCGCCCTCCAGTGAATATGCCCTCGTCTGCTACACCTGACGTTACAATATAAGCACCGGGATCCTTTCTTCTGCTTCAGAATCTCCACGACTATGGTGCTCTTCGCACCTACTCCTAGGTTGAGGGACTGATTACCTCTTCTTCTGTACATAGTTCACTGTCTTCAGTTATGTCCTAGAATTTGTATTGATAAAGCCACTGGATGGCGAAACGTCATGTTGCACATGTGTCTTAATCTCACCACCACCCTACTCACCACTTCATTCACCCAACACCTTAATCATCCAATCATTATCACACCACACCCACCATATCACCACCACTACGACTCACTAAATGATAGTGAAGCACAATGAGTCAAGTGGTAGGCATCATTTGTTTCAAAGTTCTTCCTTGATGAGAACTTTTTAAACCTGCAAAAAAATTTTAAAAGGAAATAACAGAAATGATAACTAATTTCTACAAAAACTAGTACTAGTTACCATTCTGACTCCATCATCGTCTCCAGCAAGAATAACACCCATGACAGTAACATCTAACCATTCATTATTTAAATGCATGATATTACTAACAAAAACTAATAATAAAGGTAGGCAGGGCAGGACAGGCCTGAATATCTGGATGTCTTTTCTTAAATTAAAGTTTATACCAAAGTTTAGGTTAAATGGTATATACTACATAATAATGACTACAGTTCATGTGGGTTTTGGGAGGCGGAGTGTTACCAGCCCTTCTACCCTCCCACCCCTCCCTCCCTCTCACCAGACATTCTGGCCCCACGTCTCTCCCTCTCACCAGACATTCTGGCCCCCATTTCCCCCTTCCCTTCCCCCAGACATTCTGGCCCCCACTTCCCTCCTTTCACCAGACATTCTGGCCCCCGCTTCCCTCCCTTCACCAGACATTCTGGCCCCCCACTTCCCTCCCTTTCACCAGGCATTCTGGCCCCCCTTCCCTCCCTGTCACCAGACATTCTGGCCCCCACGTCCCCTCCCCTCACAAGACATTCGGGCCCCCACTTCCCTCTCATCTCACCAGACATTCTGGCCCCAGTCTCTCCCTCTCCAAGACTTCTGGCCCCAACTTCCCTCTCTTCCCAGACATTCTGGCCCCACGTCTCTCCGTCTCACAAGACATTTGGCCCCCACTTCCTCTCTCTCACCAGACATTGGCCCCCAGGGTCTCTCCCTCTCACAAGACATTCTGGCCCCCACTTCCCTCTCTCTCACAGACATTCGGGCCCCCACGTCTCTCCCTCTACCAGACATTCTGCCCTCACCTCCCTCCCTCTCACTACCACAACTTTCCTGATAGCAGTTGCCAATCCCCAAACTGTTCCCATTTTGCAGTTTTTTTTAGTCAGTTTATAAATATGAATGTTGATTATGGCTGCATAGGAAATTAAACACAATTATTGTTCGGTTTATCACAGTGTGTTGAGAATGTATGAGTTGCATAAGTAAGTACAGTGTAAAACATACAATGACTCCTTTGTCCTCTCTCAATCTTATCACAGTTGCATACTCCTCTCTCTCTCTCTTTCCTCCCCACCCACACACCTGACCGTACTAACTGAATACTTTCATTTTTTTTTAAAAGGGAGATCATAAATAATATACATTTCTTATCAATCTCTACCAATGCCTGCTGGCTCCCTGCCTTCCGTCAGCCTATCTACCTGCCTCCTTCCTCTCTTCAAGCTCCTGCCTTCTTGCTGCCATGTCTGTCTGCTTGTCTGCCCCCTTTTGGGATCGTTCGAGTCAATAAACATTGGATAGGCTTAGATTACATTTATAAGTGAAAGCTTGGATTCACAAGACGTGCCTAATATGGGCCAGTAGGCCACCGAAGGCTCCCTAATGTATGTCACATATAATCCGTCTTCAAGTTTCTTCCCATGTGGGGTTATGAGATGTTCCAGTTTTTGACATTGCTACAGTCAGCAAGTAGGTCTGCTGCATGCGGGGCCCAAGGGGCCCTGGCTGGGGCAAAGCTCTCCTCCAAGTGAGGCCCGAGTTCGTTCCCGGCGGGGGGGAAAACATTCGACGCGTTTCTTCACACCTGTTGTCCTGTTCACCTAGCAGGTAGGTACCTGGGTGTTAGTCGACCGGTGTGGGTCGCATCCTGTCGACTGAAGGACCACAATGTAAGACAGACAGTCCTCGATGACGCACTAACTTTTCTGGGTTATCATGCGTGGCTAACCCTCCGGGGATTAAAAATCCGAGAAAAAATGTTATTTTAATCCTCCAGTACCTTTATGTTAATTAAGTGCTAATTTCCAATATTTTCTACTACAGTTATAGCTAGAATTATACTGTAGTACTTCACGTTGTTAGGTAGGACACATGTGATAGGTAGAAAGACACATGTGTTAGAAGACACATATTTTAAGAAGACACATGTGTTAGGTAGAAAGACACATGCGTTAGGTAGAAAGACATGTTTTAGGTAAAAGGACACATAGGTAGAAAGACACACGTTAAGTAGAAAGACACATGTGTTAGGTACAAAGACACATATGTTAGGTAGAAAGACACATGTGCACAAGACACATGTGGCCCGGTGGCCTGGTGGCTAAAGCTCCCGCTTCACACACGGAGGGCCCGGGTTCGATTCCCGGCGGGTGGAAACATTCGACACGTTTCCTTACACCTGTTGTCCTGTTCACCTAGCAGCAAATAGGTACCTGGGTGTTAGTCGACTGGTGTGGGTCGCATCCTGGGGGACAAGATTAAGGACCCCAATGGAAATAATTTAACAGTCCTCGATGACGCACTGACTTTCTTGAGTTATCCTGGGTGGCTAACCCTCCGGGGTTAAAAATCCGAACGAAATCTTATCTTATCTTATCTTGCATCTCTCCATGAGCTTTGTCAAGCGATACATTGCCACAATAAAATGTCATATGAGTTACATATTGGGGGAAATTTCTGGCAACATTATTGCTGCGCTACAGTTTACAATACCAGTATTGTTGTCTTCATCCTCAGTGAACAACTTCACTTCTCCAGAAGACAACTGTACGATCGTCAGATATCAATTTTATAACTTGAGAGGTGCCGAGAGTCGGCATTATCGAAACCCCCCCGTTCCCCTTTCTTCTTCCCCCTTCTTCCTCCCACTTCCCCCTTCTTCGTCCCCCTCCCCCCTTTTTCCTCCCCTCCTCCCTCCCCCCTCCCCACCGGGTACACATTTACTGCACGAGAAAGTTTAAAAAATTCTTGCTAACTTCCTCTCGGACATGAACAATAAAGATAAGATAAGATTTCGTTTGGATTTTTAAAACCTGATTTTTAACCTTTGGGAGGGTTAGCCACCCAGGATAACCCAAAAATCTGTGCGTCATCGAGGACTGTCTAACTTATTTCCTGGGTCCTTAATCTTGTCCCCCAGGATGCGACCCACACCAGTCGACTAACACCCAGGTACCTATTTGCTGCTAGGTGAACAGGCAACGGGTTTGTAAAGGAAACGTGTCGAAATGTTTCCACCCCCCGGGGAATCGAACCCGGGCCCTCCGTGTGTGAAGCGGGAGCTTTAGCCACGAGGCCACCGGGGCCCTGAACGCATTTTCAACAGTTAATGAGGAATTACAGCGATTCGTTTAATTTCTAGGTGGAGAGGATGTCATTAAGGCCCTGAATGGGCAATTCGAGGAGAGTAATGTTTTGACTAAGGCCCATTTCATGCATGGAGGAAGTGCCTTCAGTCACTTCTATCAATGACGACACTGACTTTGACATCATCATGTACTGCCTATCCCCTACGTAGCTGAAAAATTTGATGTAAGTATTTTATTAGTTTTCAGAGGTTTATTAAGCACTATTGCTGGATAGACTGATTTCACGAACTTGGCCGTAATGTTGAAGATTAAGCCCAAATGTGCAACAGCCACAGTGGCTTTATCAGTCCTAAAAAAGAGAATGGTGAAGAAGAGGAGGAGTTTGAGGCAATCAGTCCCTCAGTCTTGAGCCGAAATAACCAGTCCATCAGTCTTTCAAGACTGATGGACTGTTTTACATCGACTCAAGGCTGAGGGACTGATTACCTCAAACTCCTCCTCTTCTTCATCATTCTCTTTTGTATGGCTGAAAAGCCACTGTGTGGTGAAACGTTTCATCAATAAACATACCCAACTTTTGCACATGTGTCTTAATCTTCAGCTTTTTGGGTATTTTGTGCCGTTTTCAATAAGTCACTCAGCGTAGAAATAAAATATTTACAAAATTATTCGGCATGAATAGTAATGAAGTTTTTACCACTGAATTTTATAGCATGAATTATATTTACAAACTGTTGTGTTGCTAATTTATTATGTTTTTACAGTTAAATATTTCTGATTTATATGAAGCTTTAGGATTATTCTTTGATTTTTTTTTTATAGATGTTTCTGGTAGGTCGGGAATAACACGGGAACACCTGAAGATTTTTCCCCAGGAAGTTACGGGATATTTACGTTTTAAAAGACATGCGTTATATAAGGGGAAAACAGAAACAATATAGGTTTTGGGATTTTATTTAGCCAAAATACATTAAAATATTTATTCGATAAGGATTATTATTTTTATTCCAGTGCATATATTTTTGCCAGCTAATGTTCTCGAATTCAATTTTAGGGGGTTCCTGAGGGCCAATAATTTCTTCAGCTTAAAATGGAAGATTGCAGAGAAGATGCCACGAGACAGCCAAGGATATCGGGATGCTGCAACACTGCAACAACAATTTTCCAGGAGTATGTGTGCAATATCGCAACAACACTCAATCACTCATAATAAAAATTAGAGACAAAAAATTAGTGTACAAAATATTGAGAGGAACTGATAGGCTAAATCGGGACAGGCGGGAAACAGGAACACAAGGGCACAGCGGGAAGTTAAAATCGTGACTCACTGGATTTTGGGAAAATATTTATTCAGAGGCAGATCCACATGGAAATTTATGAGGCCCCTCAATTTATGACGTGGCTGATGTAAAATTAACAATCCCATCCTCACAAACTTCTGTTATTTTCTCTCCTTTGTTAGTGTTAATGGCGGGAAGGACCAGCAGGTCCCAGTTCCCCTGCACGACAGGTAAACTATGATGTTGAGTCTTTTTCTTAGGTAATGTACCTGGTGACTGTTCCAGGTCCCCTTAACTACTGTGAGGCTTCCAAAGGTCATGGTCACGTACAAGAGAAAAATGGTATAAACAAACAATTGCTCGGTTATTACTCTAGCTTACGGCCTAAGTTGTTCTTTATTCTTGGGCCTACCCTAAGCTATAAAGTGAAATTTTAACTTAAAGTGTTAAATACTACTGATACTGTTTGTTCCTATGGTTAAATCACTGTGAAGGCGTTACTATAACCAACCCTATAGTGGGGCTTTGCCCCTTTTATAACCCACACAAAATAAGTGGCTACCCATTTAATGAAATTGAGTATTTATCACGGGAGGGAATCTGCTGGATGCTAAATCAGTAGCCCCTTGGGAGGGCTTTATAGTATTTCTCTACACGCCAGACTACATTTTGAGGAAACAAGCAGCCTGAAATCCCCTCTACGCCTGTTGTAACCAGAAGAACGTTGTGGAATTTTTTAATTTTTCCCAAACTATAAATGCCTAATAGGTGTTTAATTGTTTGATATGAGTCAAAAATATATTGACAATAGGATAGAACCAAGAGTTCCCTTTGCGCATGCCCGGATGTGCGGGGGAAGAGGTCGACTCGGGCCATGGGGGAGGTGGGAGTGTTTTGAATGTAGTGAGGAGGATGTGAAAACCTGGGATCAGGAAATTGGCGTTCACGGCGGCCTAAGGATTAATATGGGCCTCACTTCATAATAGGAAGTTCCTGGTGAAGAGTGAGGGAACGTGATTTACTGGACCACCGTAAAAAGGTGGTAAAATTAGTGAATAATGGTTCGACCGGGTGTGACTGGTGCACGGCCATGGTATGTGTCCAGGGGAAATACCCGTGTGTTAATCCTCACTCATCGGTCTCAGATTTTAATGGAGTGAACTCTAATGTGTATAATAATTATGAGACGTTAAATCGTCCGTGAATGGGAATGTAATCAGTGATAATAAAAATTAAGTTAAGAGAATGCGGATGTGAAATAGATCGCCCTGCTCCGAGTGACTGGTCCTGACTCAACAACAAACCCAAAACCCTTTTGCACAACACTTCAACTATTTACGCTGAAACGATGCACTGGGAAGTCCGTTCGCTGCTCTGGTATCTTGTAATCTTTTGACTACCGCCCACAGGATGGGTATGGGGTGCATAATAAACATATTAAACTGAAACTGCTCCGAGTGAACGCGTGATTCTCGTACCGAGGATAGTGAAACTTTATGGAATCACGACTTCTAAACCGGGACAAACCGACGGATACCTCGCCCTGCTGGAATAAGAACCGTGTCGGTGTAGCAGGACATCGAAATGAGATAGTGAATGGAGGGAATAAGGAGTATCAATCACCCACAGTTAAGTAACCCTTCTAGTTATAGCAGACTGATACTGGCCAGTTAGGTATGTTTTAAAATTTGGGTAGGTTATGGGTGATCCAGCTACATCAAGTGACCACCAGAGAATATCTGGTAAGTGGTGAGATTATGACAAGTGTTTTCCTGATGGATATATCCATATGTAACCTACCCCACCCCCTCATTCAGTTAAACTAATATAACTATACAGTCCCCCAATTAATTAGTAGCACCGTACTTGTGGGTGCTATCCAATCCATACTGGTCTCGGATAGATATAGATAAGATTGTGAGGTCGAAGGAACCACTTGCCGTGACCAGGGGTGGTTAAGTTTTCTCACATGTCTACACGGGGGACTACGGTAAACAATATGGTTGTCTCCAATGAGTTTACTTGTAAGCATGTAATGTTGATGTACATAAAGGTAAGCACCCTATAAAATTTTCCAAAATCTGCCCGCTGGTCCTTCCTGAACCGGATGCAATCAGTAAAAAAATTAATTGAATTAATTACTTAATAATTAAGTGACTGATTGAAGGAAGTGGGTATAGGGTACACAAATTTAATCGGGCGTGTGGTGGAGGATAATTACCCAATTAATTACTAGCACATGGGTGGCTAGGATTTATACAAGAGTAAAGTGCAAGAAATTACTCTCACAAGGTGTCTACTTAAGTTGTATAATTGGTGATTATTAATTCCCTAACCATGGCTGGGTCTGAGGAAGTTAGTGGGGGCTGGCAAGTCCATGGATGCCAAAGCAAAGAAAGCGTCACTACAAGCTCGGAAGGGTCATGTTACTAAATCATACAACAAGTGTATGGAGTTAATGAGACAAGAAACGTGATCCCTAATGAATTAAAGTTATATTTAGATGTTTTAGAGAGTAAGATTTGATTGGTACAAATTGTGGTTTAAAGACTGTGAAAGAGATTCTGCTGGAGAATTGTGCAGATGGAATGGAAATGAATGTTTTAATTAATCAACATTACGAATTGGAAGAAAAACTGTCTTTTAAAAGTAAGGCTTTGAATAAATTAAAGGGTGTAAGCCAGGGAGTTGGTCAACCTATTAAAGCAAAGGGTGGGTTTGCCAAAACCTCCAGAGTACGGTCTGGAGGAAATCAGACTAGGTCGGCAGGAATTAATTGTTCAATTCCAGACCAGTCAGCCAAACAGTTCTAAGGAATAACACATAATGACTCTGAAGTATCTGTCCCAAATCGCAAAAGAGAAAAAAAATCCCAGTGGTAATAATCATAGTTAAGAGTTAAATAGGGACATATCAAATCAGGAAAACAGAAAAAGTGGTTCCTCACATCAAGGTAAGAGGAATAAGTACCTCAGTAAGTGTAACCCAGTTAATAAGAGGTCAGGCAAGAAAAGAGAGACTGCCCCTTCTGCAAGGGTACCATTTCACTAAAATTGTAATGCCTATAATTCATGGATATTAAAGTGGAAAGAATGAAAGAACTTGACAGATTTAAACATATGTCTAGACAATCATAATGTAAAGGATTGTCATACCAAATTGAACAGTTGTATCAATGCAACAAGGAAGGGACCATACATTATGTGCAGGGTTGTATGTGATTCTTATAAAAGGTGACAATAATGATAATGTTAATACCCTGACACTAAAAGTGACTGATGTAAAGGTTGCAGCTAATGGCAATAATGATGGCCTAGCTGAGGTAGCCTTGCCGGGGTTGGAAAGTAAAAATTCAGGATAAAGGGCATAAACCAAAAGCATGCGGCGTCACTCTCCTCAACACGGGACGGGCCCTGTAAAAATATGGCAAACTACCGCCTAGAAAAAATGACTAGAGGATTTGTAAATACAGTCACGGTGTCTTTCTCATAAAAGGTCAAACCCAGTACAAGTATTCTTCTATCGAGAATGATGTTGAACCAGTCTAATTTGTGGGAGCTGGACAACATAGGGATTAATATAAATGAGTTAAGTCCAAATGATTCCTTTACTCAGGAACAATACCTGAAGGATGTTAAATGTGAATCTGGACATTACTGGGTGCGAACTTCCGTGGAAGCTCGACCGTCCAGAATTAACCTACTAATTAAAAGGATGGCGTATGGACAGTTAAGGGCCCAGCTCTGCGAACCTGAGCAAGACACCAAAAATTGTTGACTGCTTATAATGATATAATTAATAAACAGTTAAATAATAAATTGTTCTTACTTCAGGCGACGATAAATGCACACCTTAAGTGCACAGGTGGTCCACTGAGCGAAGTAATTTGGGGAAATAATCTTATGTGGACAATTTCCCGGGGGTGACGTCAACTGAAGAGGAACTAATGAGGATATGTGAAGGGTTAAAAGAAATAATGCAGTAAGGTGCTGGGGCTGACTTGGGATACTGAGAGAGACTGGTTATTGTTAAAGTCTCATAATTCCAGTATGCCCAATAAATTAATCCAGGGAGCATAGGCTTATGCCCCTGAGAGAATGGAACATAATTAGTCCCTTTTTAGGGATCAATAAATATGGATGGCCATGGAGTTGAAGTGCCTATATGCAGTAATGTGTTGGGGGTGACTTGGGATACTGAGAGAGACTTGTTATGTTAAAGTCTCATAATTCCAGTATGCCCAACAAATTAACCCCGAGAGCATAGACTTAGTGTCACCACCTTACAAAAAGAGGGGAAAATTTTTAATACCAGAAGCATGGGGGGCTTGAGTGTGCTTTGGATGGAGCTCTACCTGAGGAAATTTACAGGTGGAAAGAATTAATGGGTGATTATGTAAAATACCAAGTTGGAGTTCCCAAGCCGGTGGCCAGTGAAGATGGGAAAATTGTACTCCACATTATGTCAGTCGTCTAGCAACGACCTCCGCCCGGCCGCAGTGTGGAAAATTTTTAATTTTCCAAAACGATAGTGCCTAATAGGTGTTTAATGTGTCGATATGAGTCAAAAATATATTTGACAATAGGATAGAACCAAGAGTTCCCTTTGTGCATGCGCGGATGTGCGGGGGGAGAGCTCGACTCGGGCCATGGGGGAGGTGGGAGTGTTTTGAATGTAGTGAGGAGGCTGTGAAAACCTGGGATCAGGAAATTGGCATTCACGGTGGCCTAAGGATTAATATGGGCCTCACTTACCTGGAGTTTACCTGGAGAGAGTTCCGGGGGTCAACGCCCCCGCGGCCCGGTCTGAGACCAGACCTCCTGGTGGATCAGAGCCTGATCAACCAGGCTGTTGCTGCTGGCTGCACGCAAACCAACATACGAGCCACAGCCCGGCTGATCTGGAACTGACTTTAGGTGCTTGTCCAGTGCCAGCTTGAAGACTGCCAGGGGTCTGTTGGTAATCCCCCTTATGTGTGCTGGGAGGCAGTTGAACAGTCTCGGGCCCCTGACACTTATTGTATGGTCTCTTAACGTGCTAGTGACACCCCTGCTTTTCATTGGGGGGATGGTGCATCGTCTGCCAAGTCTTTTGCTTTCGTAGTGAGTGATTTTCGTGTGCAAGTTCGGTACTAGTCCCTCTAGGATTTTACAGGTGTATATAATCATGTATCTCTCCCTCCTGCGTTCCAGGGAATACAGGTTTAGGAACCTCAAGCGCTTCCCTGGCTTGGGAACTTCATAATAGGAAGTGTCGTAACTGTTCCTGGTGAAGAGTGAGGGAACGTGATTTACGGGACCACCGTAAAAAGGTGGTAAAATTAGTGAATAAAAGGTTCGACCGGGGTGTGACTGGTGCACGGCCATGGTGTGTGTCCAGGAGAAATACCCGTGTGTTAATCCTCACTCATCGGCCTCAGATCTTAATGGAGTGAACCCTAATGTGTATAATAATTATGAGACGTTAAATCGTCCTGTGAATGGTAATGTAATCAGGATAATAACAATAAGTTAAAGAATGCGGGATGTGAAATAGATCGCCCTGCTCCGAGTGAACGCGTGATTCTCGTACCGAGGATATGAAACTTTATGGGAAACACGACTTCTAAACCGGGGGCAAACCGACGGATACCTCGTCCTGCTGGAAATAAGAACCGTGTCGGTGTAGCAGGACACGAAATGAGATAGTGAATGGGGGGAATAAGGAGTATCAATCACCCACAGTTAAGTAACCCTTCTAGTTATAGCAGACTGATACTGGCCAGTTGGGAGGGTTGTAATTGGATAGGTTATGGGTGATCCAGCTACATCAAGTGACCAGAGAATATCTGGTAAGTGGTGAGATTATGTACAAGTGTTTTCCTTGATGTATATATCCATGTGTAACCTACCCCACCCCCCTTCATTCAGTTAAACTAATATAATCTATACAGTCCACAATTAATTAGTAGCACCGTACTTGTGGGTGCTATCCAATCCATACTGATCTCGGATAGATATGGATAAGATTGTGAGGTCGAAGGAACCACTTGCCGTGACCAGGGGTGGTTAAGTTTTCTCACATGTCTACACGGGGTGACTACGGTAAACAATATGGTTGTCTCCCAATGAGGTACATAAAGGTAATCACCCTATAAAATTTTCCCTAAACGTAACATGCGCTCTGCTGGCTCTCTAGCACACCAATGAAGTGCCAGTTATTTACTGATTTAGGTGTTAGGTAAAAAGGACACAAGTGTAACTAGTGCTACAATAAAATTTCGCATTAGATGAACTTGTGTCCTTTTACTTAACATATTGTTATTAATTCTACCAACATTATTATAATTTAGTTCCCTAAGTTGACGACCAAACATTAATGCTCTAGACTACTACAATAATTCTAACGTTATGTAATGATGATTCAGGCTTCCTCAAATTATTTCTTAGATTATTTCTAAGGCCTGAATCCTTGAAAATAATGTGTTAAATTTAAGGATTCGTTAAGAATGGTTGTATCCGTTCGGAAATTCGTTCAAATTTTAAGAGATACTACACGATTTCAGGATGCTCTGGAGGACAAAAAGAATGCAGATGTCTCGTGAAATCGTAATGACACAATTGCAAACAAATCATACCACGGGCGGGGTTAGAACCCGTGATCAGAGAATCATAAAACTCCAAATCGAAGCATTAGCCACTGGGCTAGCTGGCCCAGTGGCTAACGCATCAGTCTGGAGTTCTAAGACACTGTGATCGCGGGTTCTAACCCGGTCCGTGGTATGGTTTAAAATGCAGATGTATTATACACAGACTTTACGAAAACCTTTAATAAGTGCGTGATAAAGGAATAATAGGAAAAGTGGGTTAATGGATTTATAATTTCCTAACATATAGAACACAAAGAATAATACTAAACAGAGGCAGCTACGGTGAAAAGCTCTGTTCCACAAGGCACAGTACTCGCTCCCATCCTGCTCCTCATCCTCATATCTGACATAGAAAGAGATGTTAGCCACAGCACCGTGTCCTCCTTTCCTGATGATATCAGAATTTACATAAAAATGTCATCCACTGAGAACACTGCAAATCTCCAAGCGGACATTAACCGAGTCTTTTAATGGACCTCAAAAAACAATATGAAGATCAGTAAAGACAAATTTCAATTACTCCGCTATGGAAAACTCGATCGGAATATAAAACTGGATCGGAGTATAAAACAAATTCCAACCACAAAATAGAGTGAAAAACTAATGTGAAGGACCTGAGAGTGATAATGTCAGGGAATCTCGCTTTCAAAGATCACAGCAATATATCGATCATATCTGCTAGGACAATGATAGGATGGATAATGAGAACCTTCAAAACGAGAGATCCCAAGACAATGATAATTCTCTTCGAATCGCTTGTTCTCTCTAGGCTGGAATATTGCTGTACACTTATGACCCCTTTAAGTTTGTTTTACAGAGACGACCACAAGCGGAGTTTCAGGGGAGGCGCAAGAATTTCTGTATCAGAGATTAAGGAGAAGCTATCTGGTTTGAAGCAGAACAGGAGACTTGTTTGAAGCAGTATTATTATTATTTTTATTTTTATTTGGGGGGATTAAGCCACTGAGAGAAATTTTTGGGAGCTGATCACCCTGTTGGCTTATACAGTAGTAGAGATTAGGTGAAAAAAGACAAAAACAACACAGCTGTGATGCAAAGGTAGAGGGACGAGGCTAGCATGACCAGTAGGCCTCAGCAATGCTCCAAAACTCTAACTTCTAGTGATCTTTGATGTCCGTTTATGAAGAATCAAGTTTTCTTTGACATCCGAAATAATAAAACTTTGACTGTTCCTAAAAAAGTGTTGGTGGTTTCCATCAAAGCATTTTCCAGACATCTCGTTAATTCTTCTACCCTGATGATGAGTTTGGTCTCGTTAATGCCTGAGTCATCCGTAGTAACACTCGCATCCATGTAATGAAATTTAACGATGCCAAACTCGTCATCAGGGAAGAACTAGATAGACGATGATGCCGGAAAAGTAATTTGATTGCAACTATCAATCTTGTTGCCCAGAGCAATAGCAGCACTATTATTTCAGAAGCCTTAACCACATTAATTCTTAATAAATAGGACACCACGATAATTGAGAAGTCTGGAGCACCATACCAACCCCGTTCCTCTATTCTCTGGCTCCCAGATGTACTGGTCTATCCTCTATTCATCTCACCTCTACTATATAAACTCCGCCTGTGGTTATCTCTGTGGGACTGGAGAAGCCATTCGTGGCGAAACGTTTCCTCGTTAAAATATCCTAATACTATACATGTTTTTTCTTCATTTGTCGGTATTTTATACCATATTACCTATTTTCTGTATAAAACCTCTGCTCAGCGAAACGTCTCCACAACCAAGAGTCTTTTTCACTTACATTATCAAAATAGTTAAAAATCTTCAATGTTTCTGTGAGATCAGCAGCGCACATATTTTGACTATTTTCTTTTTAATTTGTAATTTAACGTTTGTCTTTTAGATTGAAAACATGCATGTCCAAAGTGCGTGTTGATGGAGTGAAGAGAATTGATTATAAGCCGCAGCTTGCCGCTTTTACACTGACCATTACAACCACCACTGGTTCTACCATCAGTGTTGACTTAGTACCACAAATTGCAGGTGAAGTATGAATACTGGTTTATCGATGTATGTAAAACTGGTCATTTAGCAAGAACTCATTTAAAATTAAGTCCTTTCTAAAATTTTCTCTTATACATTTAAAGATATATTTTTTTCATTAATGTTAATGTAAAAAAATTTTATTTTGCTACAGAAGAATCTTAGAAAACTTACCTAACCTTATTATAACAAGAACAATTTATTTTAACCTAACCCAACTAAATATATTTTAGATTTCTTTACAGTAATTTAATACTAAACAAACACAGTGAAATATATTTTTTTCGTTAGGTTCAGAATGATTTTGGCGAAATTATTGCATACACAAATTTTCGCTTGTTCTATATGGCAAGATGAGCGTTGCTATTTAAGCCAAGATCGCAAGTTCTGCCTATTCTGCACGACATATATATATATATATATATATATATATATATATATATATATATATAATATTTTATATATATATGCAAAACAACCACTGAAAGAATAGAGAAATTCCAAGTGCTTTCGTGACTAATCACGTTATCAAGGAACAATAAAAGTAATGCATCAAAGGAAGGCATATAAAGGGTCTAGACCACACCTCACTAGTGAGGTGTGGTCTAGGCTGGAGCCAGACGATGTTTCCCCATACCCCCATGCAGCAAGCTTGTTACAGACTAGCAGTATTTTATATTATTGTGACCATGTGTTATCGCCCACCATGAAGCAGGCCAAGGGATACTAATCTTACAGAGAATAACTAAACAATGTCCAACCTAAAAAGCCTACGTAGTGTAATGTATGTTTTGCTCCATTACTATTCAAATTTCATTGTACAATCTCTTATAAATTAAATAAACAACCTACACATATTTGTGATTTTACTAGTAAGCAAAGTCACCTTAAGCAACGTTTTCTATTTACTATTGTTTGCTTAAACATTAGTCTGAATTTGATACTATTCCCTATTTCTCTACCATATTACTACCCCAATATTTTTTAAAAGATACTAATCAATTGATATTACTTACTAAGAATTAATAATTATCCTTTTCACTATAATTTCAATTTACTCTTAAACTTTTGACATTTAATATCCATTACTTGTCTAATTACCTTTACACCTGTTTTTAATACCACATTACTACTTAGATACACTTAAATACCATGTTCTGCCATATAACCTCAGTATCACTACCATGCATTATTGAATGAAATAAACATTACTGTTTTTCCACTTTTTTTGTAATCACATAACTTACTAAAAAAGAAAATTTATTTTTTTTATTAAACACCATATTTTACCTACAGTCGATTCTATACTTTTGTACATTAAACATTATTTTATACTTGCCCATAACATTTTGATTGCCAAATTTCCAAGTTTGTATATTCAACCCCAACCTTATAAATTATATCCTTTGAAACTGATTGGGGGGACCTGTGTACCAGATGTACCTACCACCATCTTTACTAATCATATTAAACTAATACATTACCCTTGGTATATTTTTACTAGTATTCCTTTTGGTACTTTAATTGTGAATTATATTTTGTCAATTTAAATCTAGTTATACTCTTGATCTTGTCAACAAACCTATACCAGACTCTAGTGCAATTTGCAAGTACCATTCTCAATTTTATTTTTAAATTATAAGTTTATATTATAATTCCTACTCTAAATTGTTTTCATATCTTAGTGGACTTTATAGATGGTGTAATTAGAGTATATAGTTCAATATATTATTGTTCAAACCCTTAACTATCTTTGCTAACTAAGTGTAACAACTACAACTACCTCATAAATTTTTAATTTTTTTTCTTATCTACTTTTTTTAATTCTTTTTGCTCCGTCAACTTGTATATTTTATTTTCTTGTCAATTTAAATCTTGTTATACTCTATCTTGAAAACAACTTATATAACACCTTAGTGCAATTACATATGGAACGTGTGCCCTTTTTATATTATAGATTAAACTGCGAGATGTACTATAGTCAACACCAAATTCATTATAATAGACCATATTGCAATTACTATTTGAAGTCAGGTGCTATTTTTTTATGTTAATGTTTATATTATTAGATTAAACTAGTTGCAATATACTCATTCTACTCAATACATAGACTCCACAAAAGTCATTATTTAACCGTAGGCAATGATTTGATTCCACTTTATTGTTCACTCACAACTTAATATAGGCTTTTATATTAAAATTTTATATTATAATTCTAACTTTAAAGAATTACATTTAAAGTACTACCACTATCACATCCCAAGCTCCATATTTGAATCATCACTTTATTTGTTCACCACAAATTATTTTGAGTCCTTTATATATGACTCCTTTATTTCTAGCTTTAAAATCTACCTTAGCTCATTATTTTTACATTTTGTTAAATAATTCAGGTTGCTATTTTTTTAGGCTTTAGAATATTTACTTGTTTTATACTTAATTCTAACTTAGATTCACTTCAAATCTTATGATTACAAGCATTGATCCGATACCAACCTCTTTTAATGACTTAAATGATTCAAAACAGTTTTAGCTGTAATTAATACACGCAGAACAATCAAAGGCACTTCCTCAAGCCAACAACAACATAACTATCGTTAACTACAATACAATCTTAACAAGCAGGACATGACCTCATAGCATTACTAAATTCGCTTGCAGCCAATAAGTCCACATTACACTAACTGAAACCTGGCTAAAGCCTGATACTAACAATGTCTATCCATTCCTGGTTACACAGCCTATACACAATGTAGGCGCAGAACCATACATGGGGGGTGGACAGCTATATACTACTCAGCCAACTAGAATGTATCACTAATACTAGCACAAGGATGAAACATGGGAATATATAATAGGTAAATTCAAATCCAAATACCTACAAAAAACCTCTCACAATGGATAACATCTATACAGAGTTTTCCACATCTAAACATAGCCAATAAGTCAAAACCAGAGTATGATAACATGATGCACGCATGAACAAAGATCAATCTAACTACTCCTCAGTGACTCAATATATAATCTCCTGCAAAACCGGACCCACACTAACTGTGAATTCACAAAACACAATGAGGTAACTGCATTTTTGCTTACCAACAGTAACAAAAAAAACCTACAAGAGTTTACAGAGAAGACTATTGTTCCCTAGCTTGACCACATATGTGACCAACACATAATCCCATTTAAAATCAAGGCATAATTACAGATAACTACCGACAGACCACTACCCAACTTCCCATCAGACAACTCTTGGTAAAATAACCCCAAGACACTACTAAAGTCAACTCAGACTTCACAATGAGGCAGCCATTAATAACTACAACAACAGGCAGGAAGCAAACATTGAGGCACAGCTTACTAGAATCACTACAATATTTTACGAATGTTTTAATAATTTTTTTAAAAAACAACCCACTACCTCTATACCAAGCACTGCCCAAAGAAGACTATACAGATGACATCTAAGAGACCTTGTAACAGTCCCTGCTTAAAACCCAGCATTCGACAAATCCATAAATACAAAACAGATATAGGGTCACATAACCATAGACCAAACAAAACGTTTCTCGTCAATCTAACCAGTCCTGATAAGAAGGGCAAAAAAACTTATTATAGAACAGATTAATCCTACTAACGAATGATATAAAAAAGACCTGGAAAGACCTGTCAAAATTCTGGAACAAAAAGATGATCACGAAAGTAAGCGAAATAAAATAGTAAGAATCAGACGAACACCCTCCTCCCGACCAACAGAAACAGCAAACAGACTCAATGATTTCTTCTCCACTATAGGACAAAACCTTGCCAATAAATCCCCAGCTCAGATACCCACCAAAATGACTACCTCACTGCAAACTACCCGAACACACAGTTCCTAGCGTGCCGACTAACCCATACGAAGTCTCCCGTTTTATCAACGCACTGAAAAACTAGGCAGAGATTTAAAACCTTACCACCCTTTATATACAGAAAAGATGGTCACAAGTACTATCACCAATCATTCAACACTCTTTAAACAAATCCATAGATCCACCCCTTCCCTACAGCTCCGTCAAAATAGCAAGGGTACCCGAATCCATAAAGGAGGAGAAAACAAAACGGATTGAAATAACTATTAGGCCTATAACCAATTTACACCCTCTCATCAAAAATCTCGAAAAATTATTTCATAAACGAATCTACTTCTACTCCTACCTGCATAATCTCGCCAAACATTCCTCAAACCGCTGCCAATTTGGATCAGGCCTAATAAAAATACTAAAGATGCTATTATACAACATGCTAGAACATATATGACACAGCAAGCAGAGAAAAAAGAAGTCCAGGGATCTTCTTGCTTACCGTAAAGAGCTTTTGATACAGTTGACCAGGACTTGCTTCCACGGATAATTGTCACACTATGTATTAAGCGCAACAGGCACTCCCTCACTACCTCCAAGTCTTACACAGCAACAGAAGCCAATATTTGTACGCAAATGGGCAAGCACATCCGCTCCAACCAAATGCAGTTGTGTCCCACAGGAAAGTGTCCTCCTCTCTTCTCTTTCTCCTATACATAAATATGACCCTAACCAGAAGTGCTTCGACATTACTCGAAACCCACAGTTTTTGCAAACACTACATACGTCTTCTCTCACCCGAGCCTCAGTCACGCTAGCCAATACTGTAAACACGAAATACAGAAATAAAACTACCTTATGATGACTAAACAAACCATACCCCCGGCCGGGATTGAGAACCCGCGTCATAGAGTCTCAAAACTCCAGCCGTCGCTTTAGCCACTAACACTAGCCATAATAATGTCTTCCCACTAGGAGTATTTCTACTCATAGAAAGGTTAGCACAGCACCTCTGTGTCATTATACGATTTCTTGAGTCATGAGGACTAACAAACTTACACTAACATTGACAAAAACCTATCTTCTTTCATTTGGTAACAGAGCACAGGATACCTCTGTAACATAACGAAAAACGAGATCACCTATCAAAAAGCTAACAGAGGAAAAATTCTTAGGTAATCCACATTTGAGTAATAAGACTCACATTTCATACACAGTAGTACAACAAAATTCTAAGAAAAATTCCCCAATACTGTAGGCATACAATCGAAGATACGGTACTCATGTTCCACAGTCAGTCCTGCCTTGGCCCCTTATCACATCTCTCATTTACCACCTATCACACCTATGAAATTTGGCAGGGGATCAACAACAATTAACCATCTCAGACCACTAATTACCCACAAAAGGCTGGGCAGTTAGAATATAACAAATTCCCACTACAGGCACACAACTCCACCAATATTCAAAACACTCAAGCCTACTCACCATACAAACAATCCAATACTTATTATTGCACCTATTACATACATAGACACTTAACTCTGATATTAAGCCCTCCCCATAAACATCTCCTTGCCAACCTCAACAGACACATGACCATAAACACAAGGCACAGATCACTCTTTGATATTCTTCGTGTCCCATCTCACGCTATGCAAAAACTCAATGCATATATAAGGCCCTAAAATCTAGGAATCAGACCTGTAAATATAAAAGAAAACACTACCTGTTTAAAAAATCAAGTCTCTTCACAAAGACACTTACCACTTCAAAACCAAATAAATGACTGAATAAACTGAACCTATAAATTGTATTATCCTATATGATACTCACCATAAATCACACAAAGGTTAAACCCAGACCCAAACCAACTTTGTTTATTATTTTTTAAATACACTACCTAACAGAATACTCCCATTCGACTGAATGTACAGCATAGCAAGCTAAAAAACCATAATGAACCTTCTATTGTAATACTCATTTATGCTTGATAGTTATTCTGTTTACAATATTGTATTATCACTGATATTCAATCATCGCATAGTTAATCTTAATTTAATGAAGCCAGCTCCGTAATGCTATGCATATAAGGTGCTTTGGCATGCTGATCGAACCTTATTTATTTTGTACCTGCTTATATGCTAAAATTACTAAATAAATAAATAAATAAATTTAATAAATCAAAGCACTCAATAATATTCCCTCGCACTTCCCAATACCTCAACTCTCCATTAATAACTCTCCTCTTCTATTTTTAACTACAAATCCATTTTTCTCTAGCTTCCTTAACAGTTAATTCTCACTCACAAAACTTTTTCTTATTTTCAACAAATTTGTTTGATATCATCTCACCCCCTCTCATCATTTGTCTCTCTTTTTACATTGCTTCACCCTCTTCTTAACCTCTCTCTTTTTCTCCATTAGTACCTTCCCTCCTTGTATCACTTCTACTTTGTAAAAACATCTCATATGCTAACTTTTGTCTCGACCTTACAGCTCTCTTTTTATACAGTCATCTTTCCCCGAATCGCTATCCTCTAGCCCTCGCGCACCCACTTTTCCTGTACCCGCCAAACCGTACTGCTGAACATCTTCTAACACTACATTTTAAAACCTACCCCATACCTCTTCGACCACCTCCCAATGCCTAGCTCTCATTATCCCATCTATCCTCCAATACTGTTTATATCTAACCCTAACGCCTCCTCTTTTAGTTTATTAACCTTCATCTCTCTCTTCCATCCCTGATGCTTCTATTCACCTTGTATCCCATCTACATTGTTACTCTCATTAGCCAACAACTAAAAGTGATCTGAAATATCTGTGGCCCCACTATAAACAAAGTACAACCAGAAGTCTACTCTGACAGTCTTTTATCTACCAATACAAAATCCAACAAACTACTGTCATTTCGTCCCTACATCAAATCTTGTATATATATATATAAAAAATATATATATATATAATATATTTATATATATATATGAATATATATATATTATATATACACTTCTCTCTCCTAGAGTGCAGGTTATTTAGTCATAACAGTGATATGCCGACTTAGAAGCTGCTATCTTTTAAATTTTGTATTTGGATATCAAAAAGACTTTGAAGATGTGTTTTCTAAGCAATTTTATAACGAAAAGAATTTCAGTTAAAAGTTGGGGTTCCATATCTGGTTCCTTACATCAGCTGCGATGCAACTACAAACTACGTCACTACACTGGAAAGTAATGGAACTCCCATTTATTTCATTCTCTCCTGCAGCACCCAGGAATAGCGTTTGAAAATATAACAAGCGTCTCTGCAACAATGCTTTTTCATGCGGGAAATAGATTTTTTAAAGAAAAACATGGATGCTGTGTTGCAATTTTTTTATAATACATTAGGAAAATCATGTGTATGTTAATTACTCCAGTAGATAGACAAGACCTAGATCCCCAATTGAGGAACTGTGATTTTCAGTCAACTTTAAGATCATAATATAGAGAACCATTACTGTAGATTTCTAGTTGCTATACTAGGCAGTTCTTTAAACAAACACTTATCGCGCTCCGTAAATGTGTTCAACTTAACTTTTAAAGCCAATTAAATCCTTTCTTATAGGCCTTTCTAATTTAAATGTAATCCAACTTGAAAATCCACTGTTACAAAGGCCCACCCTCATGCTATAAATAACCTCTCAACATTCTAAGTTAAGCAATACAATGAGGTATTGAACCTTTGATTCCTGATATGTATTTCTGATATATAATTCAAAAAGCTGTCATCTTTATTACTAAAAACCCTGCTGTTTAGCTTCCACTCATTTATCTTTCTTATGTATTAAAATAACACCTTATGATGGTTTTCAACACATGAGACTGTTATATAGACTTCGTATCATCCTCCATCAGAAAATATGGTAATACCAAATTATGTAAAATGTTAACTTTTATCTTCGCCATAAACTCAACTCACAGACACAGAGATACAAGGAGTATTCACAAAGCAAATCCTGTTGAAAATTGGGTACAAATACCGATAAGTTGGAGATTAAGTCATGTGTAAACAGTTGTGGAATCTTTATTGATGAACCGTTTCGCTTACACATTAGTTTTCTTCAGTCAAATATCAGAGAAGCAGGTGTAGAATTGAAATAAAATATTAATAGTCCATCAACCTTGGGAGAAATAAATTTGAGGTGGCCATCCCTCGACCTGAGTAAGAGTACAGCTCCAAGGTCCTGGAACGGATATCGTTCCAGACCCATGAAAAAGCTGTCAGCAAGCATTACCAATTCCTTTAATAAAGTGCCCATTTTGGCTTTTCGAATTTTGTGCGAACTTGTCGGTATGTATACAACGTTACGCCCAATTTGCCTACTCCTGAGTTCCAGACTTATGGATCGATAGTAAGACTAAGCTCACTTGGAAATAGAATTAACTATTCCATCTTCCGCATCTCCTCACGACACCCGTTTTTTGCAGTCATAAAATATGAAGAGTAATTAGCGCCTCACAAAATTCAATCGTTGCACTCTTAATATCCTGAGAGAACATATCAAACGGTTTTGGACTTGTTTTCCTTTAATCGGTTCTCTGTTTATTAAACATGTTCCCAAGTGTTTGTGATTACATTCTACAGCTCTTTAAATTTAGTAATTATGAAATATTTGTCTTGGAGGACCGAATGAAAATAATTATTAAAATGATAACAAACTCCCCTCCCCCCCCAAATCTGCCATGGAGCACAGAAAGAACGTTTCAGATTTGCCTTGATTAAGATATTCAATTTGAGAATCCATAGTCTCGTAAAACTTTTCTTTAACCTTTATGTTTAGTTTAATTGTATATACTGATTTTTAAAGTGAATCATATCCATCATTTGATGTTCATAGTAAATTCCTCTATTCGTTCCCATTGAGACTTTTCAATCTCTTCTGCATCCATTTGGGATCATTTTTTAATTCGATTTATTTGCTCAGTGGGAATATATGTGCTCTGAGCGACTTGCACATTTCTTAGATTTTTTTAGATTTTGCCACCGAAGTGGCTAGTTTATTGCGCCCCCACAACCATCCTGGTGGGACTAGCGTAAGAGCATATGATACATAAAAGGCTAGGACTAGGGCACCCGAAAGGTTAACAGGTGTAACATTTTGATTTATATTTACAATGTACAGTCCATCGTGTATTTTGTACAAAAGAGGCAAATTTTAGTAGAATCTAGATATCCTTATTAGTCATTAATAAATATCTGACAAGTCACATAGGTTTTTATAATTCTATCACTATATTCCGTCAATAAGCGCCAAATTTCTTAAAGACTATCGAAAATGACATTTCCTTCGTTTCTGTTTTGTAAGATTTCGGTAATAAAATCACTAGGTTACTCGAAGTCCATAAAATCTGACAGTGATAACCTTGGCAGCTAGATGTCTCGATCTAAGACAAGGTGAAACCTATAAACACGTGAAATAAACACAAAAGTCTCCTTGACACTTTCTTCCTCTATTCCTCTGAATGTATATACAGTAGGTACATATACATCTCCCTATTTCTAATCTTCACTTTCATTAATATATAGATTTCACTTCATGTCTTTTTTCCCAAAACGACATTTCTTTCTTTAAAACATTTATATTTTCTGTTTGAAACTCTTCAGTCCAATAATTTATTTCATCTTCGTCTATTAAACCATTATGTACCAAAGATCCTCTGCTCATTTGTCAACTGTTTGACGTTTCTCAGTGATCCAATGAATATGAGTTTATTAAAGACGCATAAATCTTGCATTTCAGTTGACATTCGAACATGGTTCGACTGGTGAGAGCTGGTTGGAGTAGTTTTGAATGGCTCAGAAAATTTGGTTTAGCCTTCCACATCAAGCGTCTCGCCTCAAGTTCTCTGTCAGTTGAAGCAGAATCAATGATGTTTAAAAAGGTTTGTTATTAAAGCACATCAAAGTTATTTTTATTAAATTTTCCAGACTTTTAACCTACAATTCTTTTTTTAGTTAAGAGGAAAGAGCTGCAGAACGTTCATCGTTAAAATTACAGTGGTCCCTCGCTTTTCGTGTTCTCGGCAATCGTAAATTTCGCCAATCATAGGGGTATTTTCGTATAAAACATGGACTCGCTTTTCATGGTTGACTCGCGATAGTAGTTCGTCCAGGACGCTTACGCACGGTGTGAGCCAGAGAGGCCTCCCTAACCAGCCAGTCTGGCATTGTTTACCGTGAGTAAAGGGTCCCCTCAAGTGCTCCTATGAAATATTTCATAATATTCCACTCATTTAGTGCTTCCCAAGTAATAAAATTAAGCTACCATGGCTCCAAAGAAAGCTCCTAGTGGTAAAGAATGTGAGAAATATGTAGTGACAAAGTCTTGTACCATTTTAGGGAAGTGTTAAAGAGATGCCAGAATCAGAGCTCTCTCCACAGTTACTTTGCAAGAGAGGACTAGAGTGACTCTCAAAGGTGGTCCTTTGTGGCATTAAGAAACAGAGAAGAGAAGCAACCCCAGAGAAGCAATTGGTACCCGAGGTGTTGCTGGAAGGGGATTTCCCTTCCAAACTGTAAACAATCCAATCTCTCTCCTCCTCCAGTCTCCCATACACTAAGAAGAATCTCCAAAAAAGGTAAGTGTTTATGCGTTAATGTTTCATTCTCATTTTTCCCCTTGTATTTTTTATGTACTACATGTATATTTCATGTAATTTTTTTTTGTTTAATACTTCTGAGTGTCAGAACGGATTAATTGTATTACATTATTTTTTATGGGAAAAATTGATTCGCAAAAACGTAAAAATTTTTTTTTTATGGTAGCTCCTCTAGGAACGGATTAATTACGAAAAACGAGGGACCACTGTATTTTATTATTTGAGTAAAGAAAGGGCTATACTTTTATAGTAATGAATGCTGGGAAATTTGAGCATTGAAAGTGCACATAATGTTTCGTTTTTATGACCGGATTAACGAGGGATTAACACTTTAGGTGCCCCGTGGGTGGTGGCAAAAGCTCTCGCTTCACCGGTGAGGGTCCGGGTTCGATTCCCGGCGAAGAGGTGGATAAATTGGGCATGTTTCCTTACACCCATTGTCTATGTTCACTCATCAGTAATAATGGGGACCTGGGTGTTAGTGGAGTAGTGGGGGTCGCATCCTGGGATAAAACTGACCTAATTTGCGGGAAATGTTCAGCATAAGCGGCTTTCTATATAGTAGTATGTCATTGATGTCAGCTAGGACTGTATATGTGGGAAATTATTTGGGCTACCAAAATTTTCCACGAAACGTTTTATAGTTTAAGCTTCACGAGCCCTTAATATACTCATTTACATAGCATTTGTACATAATATTTGTATTTCTAGGAAGATTTACGTAGTTACACAAAGTAGAAAATAAACTTAGGAATTATTAACACAGTTTTAGGACCTAAAATAAGATTAGGTTTGCTATAGTAGAATTAGTTAGAGAACTGACAGTTTCAAATTCGAACGAAGTCAGTTAGAAGACGCCAGCTAGAGAAGTTGAAGCTCGGATTCCACCGAGAGTGGGAGTAATGCGTGAACAGCTAGAAAACTGGCCTAACTTACTTGGGTAGCACTACTAGAACAACGAAGCTTCCTCAAACACCGAGGATACCTACTAGTATCCAGACAAACCCCAGCGAACTGGTTACGTTTCTTTTAGCATTATTGGCCAATTTTTCTGCTGAAATATGGTGAGAACATTTGCTGGGAGATTTTGGCGGATGTACAGAAGCCCGTAATTACTGAGGTACGAGAGTATGGAAGTGTAGCCCTCCCTTCAAGTAAGTTAACTTGTACAGTTAGGTATTACATAACATCTCAATAGTGTGGAATTTTCTTGCATGAGCCACTGGCGTGCCTGAGTTAATATCTCGGGATGTCTGTGTCAACAGTTTTATTTAAACTTACTGCACGCTATGAGGCAGTTCGCACAAAAATTCACAGCATAGCTTGTATATGTCATGTAGTAAATAAAGATATTATTATTATTATTATTATTATTATAATACAGAAGAGTGGTCAAAAGGCGTTATAAATATCCTGAAGAGAGTAACTAAAATCCACTTAAGTAGTTAGGTAATAAGAAGTCTAGAAAGAAAATGGATGAACTCTTAAAAATTCAATAGAAATTACATACACATCGACACCGTGCCTAACCCTTCTAGGGTAGGGTAGGTGCCTG